CGGAGCATTACTAGTATATATAATAGTATAAGTCGATTTTGATGATATCAAAGTTATCCGAAAATATTCGTGTAGCATCTAACGTAAGCATCTAACTATGAGATTCGCATATTAATCGGTACATAGCTTTGGAATTTCGCAGGCGAGTCGACGAACGAGTCGAACGATCGAGCATGTTGCACGAATAGCGTAATTCGACTTTGGCTAATCTTAATTCAGAGCTTATATACGGTAGGGAGAGAAAAGAAAATGAGATTCCATTGGCGAATACCCCCATGTATATTCACGAAAACAAAACAAAAAAAGAACAGAAAAAACTCTTGCCGAAAAATATTCTTCGACTATTCTTGAGAAATCCCTTTTTTTAAGTTAGAACTTTTTCGTTGTACAACATCGAAATTGTAGTCATTCAATATTATAACCGTTAGTCCGACAAAATAAACAACGCTGTATTTTTATGTATTCTAAATTACCAATCTATTCTATACAATTTATACGTAAAATCAATCGAATTTTTGTTTTTTCTTCATTTTCAATTTAAACTTCAAGACCTGATCATTGATATAGTTTCGTCAGAAACTATAAAAAAAGGGGTAATTTAGTACTTTTAAAATTAATAAAATAACTCTTTGACTGCGGCGCGCTCTCGAACGAATCCATTAATTAATATGAACGGCGGCCGCGATTTTCGCTGACTACTGACCAAAACAGATAATAATGGCAAATAAAATAAAAAATATCAATGTTAATATTTATTTTTTTCCGAATGGATAAATTCCAAAACTAATCACAAAATAAAATAAAGAAAAACTTACATATGCAGCAAAGGAACAAGTTTACAGGAATCAAAGCACGAAGTGATTATACGAGACCGTATGTAAAAGAACAATCAAATATGAAAGCAATTGATTAAACGATATTGAAATAATTGCCAATATTTAGTTGCTATGTTACATATCACAATAAATTAAAAATACAGAAGCCGTATATTTACGCCTTTCGTGTATATATTGATGAATTTCTGAGAGCGTATATATACGCCTTCAGCAGTCAAAGGGTTAATTAAAATATAGATTTAATTACTTTACATACTATACAATTTTTCTTAATTCTTGTTTCTTTTTTTTTTCTTTTTTGCATTTATGCATAAAAATCTTTGTCGTGAAAAGACGAATCTTTGAATAAATATAAATGAGATTTTTAGGAAGAACTTCTACGTATCAAGTCTTCGTTATACTACTATTAATAATAACCGTTATCCGATTAACAAAAAAGATTGATTTTAATATTTTCATACTTCCTGCCATTGCTTAATTAACCATTGTTTAATTAACTCTTGACGTTTGCATATCAACTTGCATATTCATACAGTAGACACGAAAGATCTGCATTTCGTCAACTTTGTTTTATGATTCATATAATTAATCTAACTGTACCAATATTATAATAATAAACGATGGTCCGTTAATTGAAGCAAAAAAAAAATTGTTCTATACATTAAATTAATTATTAGTTAAGTTATTTTTATACTTTTAAATAATTTTTAGAAAAAAAAAAAAAACAAATAGAAACACAATTATTAAAATATTTCATAATTCATTATAATTATATGAAATATTATTTAATTACACAAAAGTTATGAATCAAATAACAACGTAAATATATTATAAATAAATAATAATATATATATAAATATAATATATTAATTACAATTATTAATATAATAATAGTATGAATTGTAATAATAATAATAATAATATTAATAAAGTTTGTTTTAAATTATAAAATTGATAAAATATTGGAATTTGAAATACATGAAAGAAAAACTATTGCAATGTTCGCAGTAGTGAATGAAATCGATGAAAAGAAAGATTTCAGAATAGATCGATAGTAGATTTCATTATTATGGAAGTTGCATCTAATGATTAACATAAAAGAAGGATAGAAGGTATGTTCGAGCTAACAGATGTTGTTTACGAGCGATTGCAAATAAGATCACCACCGATGCGTATCGTTCGTTGATCGAATTTAAGAGTTCGTTGAAAAAGCCTTGTTTCCGCTTCGTCTTATATTCCTTTATTCAACAATTTTAATATAATTTGAAATAAAATATTGATTCAATGAAAAATACTTAAATAAAACATTTCATTCGTCCATATTGAAATTAATATTAAAAATGAATGAGTATTTTTTCCTAAGAATTTATTAACGAAATAATCGAAAAGTTTAAACAAAAAATTAAAATAATATTCGTTGAATTGGATTAAATTAAAAAATTTGACACACTTTTATATTTTTCTTTTGATGTTCTCATTGATCTAAATGAGATCGAACACACTTCGGTTTCCTGTCCTACTATTTGATTAATATTCCTGTCACGAGGATACGCGTGGTTGGTCTTGAAACTTGAAGAAAAAAAAAAAAGAAAAAAATCTTCCGATAGGACACAACCCAAAATTCGTCGAGTACGTTGACCTCCTATTCGTACGTAAATCGGAGTGAATTTTACACGAATATTTATACAGTAAATTCGAGCAAAATTCGTAGAAATTTGTTCAACGAAATTTATATCAATTCATTATCATAATATATTCTCAAAAATGCTAATATCTATTAATAAACAAAACAAATTTCAATAATTCTAATATTGTTCTTATAAACTTAACAAATTAATCAACGAATTACCTCATACCGCCTTATTGCGATTATAAATTAAGGAGATATAAACTATCGTATCTTTCAAGTTGGATGAAACTGCACACAGTGTGTAAAATTTGATTAAAATCGGTCAAGTAGCTTACGAGTCCATTGCGGACAAACAACCTGACAAGTAATTTATATATATATTAAGATATACTATTAAAATTAGTGTCATAATTTTTGGTCAAATTTAATCGAATTAATTTCTAAACAAATTCTAAAGATTATTAGTTGACAATTTTATATATGTATAAATTTATCTTAAGTTAAATGTCCCTAATATAAAATATTGATTATATACCTGAATTGAAACAAAATTGAATTTTATTTTGAGGATAACAACAAATAGAAAAGATTTTTTAACCATATTATGTGGATTAAATATTTCTAAAGGAAAATATAATTAAAAAAAAAAAAATAACAAAAGAACAAAATGTATAAGATAGAATGATAAAAGTAAAGAAAGAAAGAAAGAAAGAAAGAAAGAAAGAAAGAAAGAAAGAAAGAGGAATGGATCAAAATCATTTGGATACCATTATCAGAAGACTATAGTAATTTACATAGAGTAGGTATAATGACGTACGTTTGACGTAACTTCCTAAGGAGGATCCGAAACCTCTTAATATTAATATTATGTCAGTCATACTCACTCAAACGTCTGGTGTATGACTGGTCAGAGGCGACGATAATTCTTGAGGACGATCAAAAGTCCGTAAGAGTCCAATGGCGGTGGCCGTGGACATCGTGTCCTGAATCCTAAACGGATTCAGGCAGATCCGCCTTGACGTGTCAGTGTCCCTACTTCTTATTCTTCTTCTTCTTCTTCTTCTTCTTCTTCTTCTTCTTCTTCTTCTTCTTCTTCTTCTTCTTATTCTTATTCTTCTTTTCTGTTTTTCCCTTCTTCAGTTTCAACTAACAATAAAGAAAACTCGAGGAAAACTTAGATCGTTCATCCCTTTCCACCCACCCCACTCTTCATCAAGTTTTTTCTTTTATATAAAATAAAAATTTTATATTTTTTTTCTTTTTGTTTTATCATATGATACAATAGTGCTATTGTGTTCTTAATTGATAATAAACACAACAAATTATTACCATCGTTTTATTAGTGTTTTATTATTTTTTTTACAATAGATTACATTATAGATTGCATATTAGATATATTAGAGAATAAGTTATAATAGATTATATATGTATAGATATCATATATTAACAAATGTTGTTTCTCTCTGTAATATAAAATATTCTTTGATTTAATTATTACATCTGATAAATTAAATCGCGTTCTTTTATTATAATAATAGGATGAATCAAAAGTTAATGAATATTTCACTTATTTTAAATTGCACAATCTGAGAAACAGCACAATAATAAACGTACGAACCTTTGATTCACCCTAATATCAAACTACGATAAAATATATGAAAATGTAGATTTGAAAAGAACAAGAAAACAAGGATAGAAGAATATTTTTCTTTTTTCAGAGTGGGAGAGTGTTTAGGACTTAGAAAAAGAAATTAATAAAAATCAAAAATTCCGTATACGTAATTTCTGGCGAAACTGCGAATAAGTCAAGGGACAAAAAGGGTATATGTGAAAAAGGGAAGAAAAAGAATTTGTGCATAGTAAGATGGGTTTCGTTTCTTGGATTCTGTGTATTTATAGAACAATTGAAAATGTATGAACCTTTAGTTTCTCCTCTATTCGTCGCCCGTCTTTAGATCCTTTTATCTTGACTCGAAATCCATGAGTCAACATATCGCACCCTCGCGAAGGGATTCTTAAAGAAAAGTGAAAAGAAGTATAAACCATTTACATTCGATCCGTTCCTCGATTGAATTCATTAGAAACCTTCACCCACGTTTATATTCTTTTGAGAATTTAAAAAAGTTGAAAAAAAATACGATTGATTTTTTGAAAAACTGTCGAGAAATTTTTAACTCTCTTATACGGGGTGTCCCATTTAACTCTATATCACATCTTTATTTTGCATTATTGTTCTCGATGTTGATTAAAATTATATATAACAGTATTTTATATAATTTATCTCTACCATCTGAAAAGGCCATCTTTTCTTTTTAATCAAATTAGAAATAATTGTAGGAATACAATTTGTTGAAATTATTGAATGATTCGTTTTCAATTTGCTTAATTAAAAATACGAATTAATAAGAATAATTTATACTTGTAATCTGTTACTCGTCAAATATGTCATTGTTAATAATAATAACGAGTTAACAACGGTAAATAAGAAATATCCGTTCTATCTTTGTTGAACGATAAATAGGGGAGAAAAAAAAAAGAAAATAGGAAATCACACGGTTGATAGAAAGAAAGAAAAAAGACGAAAAAAAAGGGAGTTAAATGAAAACAGTTTTGGCAGACGAAAGAACGGGACTCCCCTTGTGTAAGAGGAGACTACTAGTCAGACATTATTCGCGATCGTTGCACGATCTCCCGAAACCAGATTGCGATCGGTGGGGATCCCAATTAATGCATCAGATTAAGTAGTTGTCTCATCTCGAAGGTGGATCACGTATTACCGTCGAGAAACGATGCGCGCTGTTACGACGATTCTGCCTCTCTCTCTTTCTCTCTCTCTCTCTCTCTCTGCGTTGGTTGGACACCAGGAGCATCTGACGAATAACGACGGATTGTAAGTAAAAAAATGGCGGTGAAGAAAGAGAGCTTTGGGGTTGGGTGGGGAGTATTAAGAGAAGACACCATCCCCCTTATCCTACGTAGACAACCAACCCATCCCATCCCATCCCATCCCATCCCATCCCATCCCATATGACCATACTGTTGGTCACAAATGGACAATGATTCCAGGAGGCATGGTATAAAAGCGTATGCCACCGACTAACAATGCCATTATCGTGCAAAAGGTTCCTGCACCACCAGCAGCGTAGTACACCACCAGCTAGAATAGGTGCTCTTATAGTGCTTCGATAACGAGTGAAGAAGAAAACTTGCAGAGAGTGCTTTAGTCGTAATACCTCGTCTATTAAATCCCTCACATATTTTCAATCAAGAATTTGGAATTTTTTGGTCATCCAACATGACTACTTGTTCAACGATACTTTCTTTCATTTTGTTTGCATCTATAACGATAGTTCTGGTGGACTCCCGAGCGATACCTGCTGAACCTGGTGAGTAGTCGAAAAAGATGATACAACTGACGATGATCAAAATTGAAGATTTGTAATGATCACGATTGGAAATTCTTATTTGTAACTTACTTTGTATTAAAAGTTCCGATTATTGCATCACACTTGGTCATGAAAGATTCAAACGTTTTTAATCTCATTCAAATCTTCCATACTAATAGATTGCTTTGTAAAGATTACAAGTAGTTTAACCTTAAGTATATAGAATTTCGAACAAGTATGTCCTATTTAGTTAAAACTAACGGATCGCATTATCAATGTTAATATTATTAATAGACATTGAAATATGGGCATTGAAGTATTTGTATGCTTAGCTTGATTCAAATCGTACGTGTCCTTCCTAATACATAACTGATCATCGTCATCATGAACGGTTCATTTAAAAGGTAATCGAATTTGTATAAATAAATAAATGACATGATTCAGAGATAGAGACTTTGAATCCTTTCAGTTTCACTTATGATGGACGCCTATGGGAACCCGGTATTATTCGTAAGAGAGAAAAGGACACCGATATCACCCTATCCCCAAAGAGCAATGATGTTCACCGGATATTACAGGCCAGTACGTCGTTCGAATAACGGTGGTCAGGCAGGTGGTGTTTTTGCTCAAGGAAATGCCGTCAGTGGGGAAGCTTTCTTCGGTGGCATGCAATCGTCCAATTTTAAACCTGGTCCTGAACCTATCGAGGAACCGGAAGTGTCCAGTGCCGAGGCACAAGCTGCTCCAGAACCTGAAGAACCTTTGCCTGAAAATGATCAAGAACTACCGGTACAAAATGACGATAGATATTTATCGGATGATCAACATCACGATGATCAAGAGGAACAACATGGTATTCAAGCTAACGAACAGGTCCAAACAAAATATTTGAAATTTTTCTTCTTTTTTTCTAATAATATAAATAAATATAATCAAATAAAAATTTCATTCACTAATTTAATTAATACAATTATAATATTATTAATTAATAAATGTTTTATCTTTTAGAAATATTGTTTCTTTAACCCTTAAAGTGCACACTTGGTAAAAGTTAGTTAAAGTGCGTTTGAACGCGTCTCCGCTATTTAATATTCATTTTAGACCTCGCAATTTTTTTCAATCTAGTTTGATACATCTTTTTTAAAAGATAGAATAGTTATAATTAGTGATCTTAATTAACACTAGATGGCACTAGACAAATAACCCATTTTTTCGAATTCAGTCACATCGTTTTGAAGAGATCGAAAATTTGTTGGGGTGTCAAAAACCCCATGTGTGCACTTTAAGGGTTAAAAAAAAATAACACATACTTTGTTAATTTCATAATTAACATGAAATGAATTATATAATACAGGAATTAAACGTTTCGAAAGCCGAAATTGAAACATCTGTATCAGCCGAAGAATCAATAGCACCTTCTACCGAAACAACGTTGATTAATCGTCCAAAAACGAGTACAGGAAAGAAACATAAGAAAATACCAGTGGTCCCAGTTGAAGATGACGAGGAAGAGGATGAAGTAGATGAGGAAGATGATGATCCCGTTGTACCCTTCATACCTTTCAAGAGTAATCGTCGTCGTCAAGGTTATCCAAATCTAAACAATTTTTTCCCAATGGTATTTAGTTTCCCCGGTGCATCATCTCGTGCTGGAACACCTGGATCACCACCTGGAACAATCACTGCAATTGCTAACAGTTATTCCACTGGTAAAAGTGGTGTTGCCAGTTCTATAGCGACGGCATATGGTGGATCACCTAATGGGTAAACATTCTTATTATTTCAATACAAATATATAATATAATATTTACAAATTTCGAAAAATATTCTAAAGAATACAATTGATTTCTTGTTATTGTTCTTGTTGTTTTTTTTGCTTTTTTACTTTTTTGCTTTTTTGTTAAACTAATAACACAATTGGGTTTTTCAGTAAAAAACGACGTACATCACCAGCGGAAGAATAAATCTTATAAGCATTTATAAACATTTGCAAGGAGATCGATCAAAATCGCATCACAAAAACAAAAGAAACAAAAAAAAGAAGATCGTTGTCCTCCTCGAGACTTAATTTTGTAATATTTAGGAAAGGAAAAAAATAACGACACACGTTTGAATTTAATCCTCCCCTATAGTATTTCTTACTGTTGTTGATTTTTGGTAGATACACCAAAAAAAAATCAACTTTAAAGAAAGATATCATATATATATATATATATATATATAGTAAAAGAATATCGTGATAATTGTTCCTAACGATCAAAAATCTCTGTCTTTTGTTACAAAACAAAATGTTGTTGTGTTCATAAACGATAATAAAAAAATATAATATCAAACGAATCGACCATTGCAAAAATCATCCAGCAAAAATATGGAAAGGAAAAAATTAACGAAAATTATTCGTTTGGCCGATTAACCAGATCCAGCCAGCCCACCCTGTATGCCTTGTATGCCTTGTATGCCCAACCCTTCAAGAAAAAACAAACGTATGTCTGGAGAATACGGCAAAACGCGTGATATTCATTTTACATGTAATAATATTAATAATAATAATATAATTAATAATTATCTGTAATTATTAAAATCCAAGCAAACGAATTTTTAATACGTGTGTATCTTAGAAATAGAATTAAGAAGAAAACTTTCGTCGAATAAATCTTGTTAAACCGAATTTCATTTGATTTGATTTGTTTTTGTTTTTTTTTTTTGTTTGTTTTTCCTTCTAATTTTTTTTTTTACATTGTTCTATGAAGAAAATATTATTATGAAAATAATAATATTTATGAAAAATATTTATAAATAAAAGTAAAATCAAAAGATAACTAAAGAAACAATCTTTTAAATGCAATGAAAATAAATATATTACACACGTATGTATTTCATCATGCAAAGGCTTGAACTTTTTTTCTTTTTTTCTCTTATTTTAAAGTTGTAAACAAAACAATTATTTTCAATAACATCTCTCTTGTGTAATGTACAGACGTATTTTTAATAGTCCAAAGGAATGAATTATCATTTTTTCTTCTTTATTTTTCTTTTTTTATTATCAGCAAATCATCTTGCCAGTGATCACACTTTCCTCGTACGTGATTTATCGTATTTTTATCGATTAAAATACGCAAAATATTTTTTCCATTTTATAAATATACCTAATATCAATATATGAGAAAGATGATAATGTTGTAAAATTAATGATATTCAAATATTTCAAATATTATCGACTAACTTTTGAACACAAGTGGACAACAAGAATTTTCGATCATTCATATAACGTCGTCCAACTTTTAATTCATTTCAAATGATCATTTTTAATTTTGAAATGTATCACAAAAATCATTGTGAATTTTTTTTATTTAATACTATTATAATAATTCAATTCAACTAATCTGTTATTAAGTGTGGGAAACTATTGTATATAATTTACGATGAAAAATAAGCAATATTTAAGATGGATAGGAAAATCGTATACATGTAAATTAAAAAAAAAAAAAAAAAAACACAAAAAACAAAGAAGGAGGAAAAAGATAATACAACAGAATAAATTGATCGTGTCAATACGTCTAGTACGATTCAACTAATCAATACAAATCTCGTTTAGTAGGTATGTAAATAAAAATATAATTCATTTTTTACATATTAAACATTATTAACTTCCTTTTTCCTTAAACGGGAATATCAAAGAGTATATAAGAAGAGAAAAATACTATTTTTCTATTATTTCTTACTGGTCGTTTGCAAAGAGAAGTACACGTACGTTTGATAATTCTCACGTTTGTTATTAAAAATCTGTGAAACGTATAATCCTGTATAAATCCTTACAAAAATGTATAAGTTTACCGCATTTATTTTGGTTGTTTGCTTGGCTGCAACAACTTTGGCTTATCCTGCGGATGAAGCCGGATTAAAAGATGGTGAATTTTCTTATATATAAATATTATTTTATATTTACAATTAATTTAATATTTGATTTTAAAAATAAATTATATATATATATATATATATATATAACGCAGAAAACATATTAAATTAAATTTGATAACCACGATAATCGACAAGTTTCCCATCACCTTCTCGTGGTCTACTAATTGTTGATAACATTATTATTATTATTAACTGGCATTAGGAAGTGGAAAGTTCATTGCCGCAAATACCAAATCCCGGGACCATTGTTCCCGTCCCTGAGCGCGATCCTTCCATTCGCGGTCTTCGTATTCTATTTCTTTTAAGTTCCTTCTAATATTATCCTCCCATCTACGTTTCGGTCTACCTATAGTGGTCTTTTCCCGTTTGGTATACCGACCAATATTTTGTGTGCCGCTCGATCCTCCCCCATGTACCTCGCCACGTGACCAGCCCATCTTAATCGGCGTGATTTTACGACGTTGATAATGTCCGATTTATTGTACAATCGATGTACTTTAACGTTATGGAGTTTTCTCCATTCGCCCATTTCCTCATCGCGCGTTTTACACCGAACATTTAACGAACAACTTTCTTTTCGAAAAGCCTCAATTTCTTTTCGTCCCGTAACATAAGCGACCACGATTCGCTACCATAAAGGACTAACGGCAGGATGATTGCCCTGTATATTCTGATTTTTAATCGCCTAGATAGCAACCGCGAGATGAGTAATTTGTTAACCGAATAAAAATATAGGTTGCCTAGATTGATTCTTTTCTGAAGTTCCTCGTTAATTTCGTTCGTCTAGTTTATGATCGATCCTAAATACCTAAAGTTGCTGACCCGCTCAAAAGTTTTATCCCGGACGACCAAAGTTCCAGTACTTGGCCTATTCTCAACTCTATCGGTTACCATATATTTCGTTTTTTTCGCGCTTATTTGCAGTCCCAGATTTTTATTACTATCTATTAATATTTTTGCGTTATTAATTAATGCCTGTTCATTGGCACAAATCCCTTCACAAAGCAATATCGTCCGCGTATGTCAGCAGTTGATAACATTAGAAATATTTTTTAATTTAATAATTTTTAACAACAATTTCTTTCTATTCGATATTTGTTATAAAAATTCCGTGACTTGTTAAACATAATACATTAATGCATAATATTTTTAATTTTATTGTAAACTGTGAAGCAATAATTAACGATTTTACGTAGTCCTTTTAAAAGATGATTTTTTTCGACGAAACAATAATTAATTTTGATATTATTTCAATTATCACAGCTTTCCAATATCAAAGATATGGCAGATCTGCTGAATCTGCTAATCCAATTTTCGAAGTAGGACTCCATGAAGTAAATGCTGAACAAGCCCTTCATCATGGTGGTGAACATCCTACTCCCCATAAGCATTAATTAAATTTTCAATAAAATAACAAAAATAAAATTCGGCAAATAAAATTATTTTAATGTCAATAATATGTAATATTAAAAAGAAAATTGTTACATGCAATTACTATTTTTGTTAATATCCAAACAGAATATATTTCTGTTCATTATCCATTATTATTGTAATTAAATAAAACATCTCTTTTATAAGGGAAACATAATATAAATTCTATTAATAACCTGAGTTATGATAAATAAATCTAAAAATCATATCGGTTGGAATTGAAATTAAAATACGTGTATATATTGTAGAAAATAATACACAATCCCAGTGGTATTATTGCATGAATGTCGTCGTCGGAGCATTTGTTGGAAGGTTGCATCAGAATTATAGGTGAGGAGAAAGGGAGAGGAATAGAAGAAAAGATAAAAGAGATTTTGGATGAGAGTGGAATAGGGGAAGAATGGATGAAGAGGGTTGAGAGTACAAGAGAGGGGAAGGAGTGATGGACAAGGTTGGGAGTGATGGTGGTAGGGAGGCGGGGTTGTGGGACGTGTGGGACGAGGGGAGGGGGAAAGGAGGAAAGGAGAAGCGAAGGAGAGAGTAGTGTTAAGATAGGTTAAGGATAGAATTGTAAAAGGAGTGTAACCCTTCAAGGAATCAGTAAAATGTAACTATCTATCTATCTATCTATCTATCTATCCATCTATTCTAAATTTTGAACACATTTCGAGAAAAATAAAAAAGAATTAAAAGATAAAACCGAAAGAGAGAATGACTATTATTATATTAAACAGATCGTGTAACAGTTTCAGTTATGTTGAAAGTATCACGAATTATATAAATTCATAAATCGTAGTACATGATTCATCAAGTGTTGCAAATAAAACTGGTAACTGTAAAAAAAAATAATATATATGTATAACACGCAAAACTTATCTACGTAACATGTTCAACGATTTGGTCTTTTATTTTTATTTTTATTTTTATTTTTATTTTTATTTTTATTTTTTATGTAAAATATGAAAAATCCTATATGTTGAATAAAAAAAAAACAATTAATGCATTTTCATTACAAAAAAAAACAACTAATAATCGCACTAAATGCATATCAAATTATAATGTCACACTTTCACACGCTGTAGCAATACCACACACAATCTTGTTTTAATATAATATGTTAACTTATTTGCAACGTAATTGCATTTACGTAATGTTTCTATGGGTAGAACGATGAAACATATTGTGTCGATAAAAAAGATACATGCAATCTTAAAAGATTCCTATTTATTTACCTAGATGACGCACATTAACACAAAACGGGTGAATTATTTAAATAAATTGGTTTTTTTCAAGTGAAAACTTCTTTAGAAATGGGTGTGATTTGAAAAAATGAAAAGCGGTGATGTAATGGGAAAACAAAACTGGAATTTAGTGGGAAAAAGAAAGGGACGATGTAGTGGGGGAAAGAATTCAATTTTTATCATTATTTATCAAATTATTTGATTTGCAAACATTCTCACTCTTTAAAGTGTTATATTATTTACTTTATTTGTAATTATTATAAAAATGCACGCCTGTACTAATGCAACCCTCCAGACACACTTTGAAAATTCTCAAAAATCATCTATCAGGACGGAATTTTTTCTGCCCGAAAAATAGGCGTGTATAAACAATTTTGACTGCAAAAATATTCCGTCTCAGTAGATGGCGCTCGCAAGCAACATTTTCAAAGTGAGTCTGGAGGGTTGCATATGAACAGGTGCAAATTTTATAATTAAGGGACCATCTCAGTGTAACCGATCAAAAATTTGTCAATTTTCGTGATTTTTCGAATGGATAGGAGTAGGGGATCGAGATGTTTTTTTTTCGAAAAAGACCACTCTTTAACAATACAAAAATATTTTTTTCATTCGTTTTTATTTATTTTTAATTATTGTTAATAATTATTTTAAAAAGTGAGTAAAAAAATGGAGACAATCGGTGTTAACGATTGTGATCGCAGTTTGCATCTCAAAGAAAACAATCAAATTGATTATTAATCTGTAGAGAAGCCGCTATGTCTCTATGGAGGTTTTTTTTTGAAATTTGACAAAATAGCGACGGTTTGAAGAAAAAGTACGAAATTTAGACCTGTTTTTCGTGTGAAAAAATAGGAAGACTAAAAAAAAAAAAAAAAAAAAAAAAAGCTTCCATAGGGACATAAAGAATAAAGTAAAAAATATTCCATAAAAATTTTAAGTCGATAGCTTGAAAACTCTCCCTCTGAGAGGTAAGACCGTTTGTAGAAAAAAGGCATCTTGAGAAAAACGCGTTTAAAGTTTAGCGCGCGTCAACTTACGCTCCAATCTCTTTTTCCAAGAAAGGTTGTAGCGACCGTAATAATTCGAATTTAAATTTGAAAATTTTACAGAACACGCACAACTATATGTACTTCAAGATGAGACCAAAAAAAATCGATTCTTTTTAAATTTTACACTGAGATGGTCCCTTAAATTAATAATTAAATAAATAATAAGAAATTAAAAGTACAAATAATATTATAATAATATATAGTATAATAAAATTATCCTCGAAACTTGTTTATTTGAAGGTTTCACTTCTAACTTGTGTGATATGCACACATGTTTTTTTTTTGTTTTCATTAAAGATTCTATCGAATGAAACGACGATACCAACATGTTTGAAAATGAAAAATAAATATTAAAAATGTTTAAAGAAATATTACAAAATATTATATAAAAGTACGTAGGAAAATTCTAATTAAAAAATTCTTTACATTCGTAAGACAATGGAAAAAAAAAAAAAAACAAAGGGAACGTTTAACAATCGGAAACTCTACCCATAACAATCTTTGTTTTACGTTTATCCAATTTCCGATTGTCATTAAATATTCTTATAAACATGATACGTGGTAATATGATCTTATTTCATACACGCATTACGATGATAAAAGAACTTCCCTCGTTGAATTGAATTATTAACGAAGAAATCTTCATACTCGTCGTACGTCATTTTCAAGAAGAAGAAAAAAAGATAAAGAAGTGACAAATAATTTAAGGAAAAGAAACAAAGAAAAAGAAAACAATGAAATATCAATTGATATTATTATTATTCGCTTATATATTAACAAGCGTAAGTAATTATATCCTTTATATGATTTTTCATTATTTTATAATTATTAATAAAATCAAAGTCATCTTATAAATTTTATCTTATTTTATATTTTTAAATATATAAATAAATTATAATTAATATTAATTTATAATAATAATATATATATATATATATATATATATATATTTTTTTTTTTTTCTTCTTCTTTCAGATACATTGTCGTTCGATAATACTCGATGAAACATGTAAGTGAATAAATTATATTAATAAATTTTTATTTTTTCTATTTCTAATTATTAAAAGAATTGAAATTGTAACGAACTGATATTTCTTTATTTTCTTTCTTTCTTTTGTACTTTTTTGTAAATGATTTCATTTAAAATAATATCCATAATTGCGAATATTTTCAATGATATATTATATATTAGAACCTTGAATAAGTTCTCGCTGTTTCATCAAAGATGGCAATAGCAATACTCTGTGCTTGAAATTTCAAATGGTAACGCAAATGGTAAACGCACTTGCAAGGAAGTACTGTATCTAACCTGAAATTTCAGTGTATGATAGTAACTCACTTTAGTTTAAACAAAGTAATTTTTTATTAATTTTGAAAATGTCTACTTTTGTGCCAACTAAAGTGTATTTGCGAGGAATTTTATTGCACTACTTTATTCAAAAGAAATCGGCAGCTGAAGCACATAGAATTCTTGTTGAGACTTATGGTGACAATGCTCTGTCGGATACGACATGCAGAGACCGGTTTCGACGCTTCAAAAATTTTGACGCTTCAAAATTTGGAACTTGAGGATAAAGAACGTTCTGGCGCACCAACAAAATTTCAAGATAGAGAATTGGAAGAAATTACTCGATGAAGACCGATCTCAGACGCTAGCAGAACTTGGAAAAACATTATAAGTTGATGACTCAACTGTTTCAAAACTTTGACAAATGTTAGGAATGATCCAGAGACAAGGACATTGGGTGCCATATGAATTGAAGCCAAGAGACATGCTTTTTGGCGTTTTGTCACATGTGAACTACTGTTTCAACGGCAGAAAAGAAAAGCTTTTTTGCACGATGGGAAGTTCTACCCCACCCGCCGTATTCACCTGACATAGCCCCTTCCGAGTTTCACCTATTCCGTTCGATGGCACATGGCACATTAGCTGAGCAGCGTTTTCATTCTTACGAAAAAGCTAAAATATGGGTCGATTCTTGGATAGCCTCAAAAGACATGTCGTTTTTCCAACGCGGAATTCATATACTGCCAGAAAGATGGGAGAAAGTGGTCTCTAGTGATGGGCAATACTTTCAATAAAACGTTTTTCTTCCTTATATTTTAAATAAAGTTTTTATTTTGTAAAAAAACAGCGAGAGAACCTATTCAAGGTCCTAATACTTTATTATACATTTAATTATATATATATATATATATATCAATAATAAAAGTGTATTTTAATGAATTCTTAGTAGCTAAAGATGACAATGATAAACCTAAGAAAACGGAAATATCATTTATCGATGAAATGAAAGATATAATGGAACAATTTATACAAAAAAATGTTGTCGAATCTACGACGAATTCACCTTGGTTTACTTTATTGTTGAATTATCCAGAGGTAAGAAATTATTAAAATAAAACAAAATAACTTTTATCGTGGATCGTATTTTATTCTCTCTCATTTTTTTGTATGATTTAATTAATTATAAAATTAATGTTGTTATTTCGATTATCGTGAAACCCAGGGATTTTCTAATCAAACCATTTGGCAATTACCACGAAAATATTTGAAAAGAAACGAAAATTCCAATTCTGATAATTTAATGAAACAACAAGATAAAAATGAAACTTCGAACAACGAAAAATTATCTATCGAAGATGAAGCTAAAATGATTAAAACTTGTGCTGAACAAATCGATGAAATGTTGTTATTTATACAAAATGCACTTGGCGAATTTCGAAAATATTTGAACGAGTGGTGCAGGTTTGTTTAATATTTCCGAATTTTAATGAATATTATTTCATAACATTCTATCCATATCTCTTTTATTTCAAATTTATATTTATATATTTAGGAATCATCATTTGATGGTCAAAATAAAAGCAGAATCATCCGATACGATTAATATTTCTCCTCAAAATTGATCAAACTTTAATTAAAAAATCATTTTTAAGATAGAAACATTTTTATTTGTCTGTACATTGTTAAAAGAACAACAACCAAAAATTGTAATCTAACAATCCTTATATAGTATTTAATCATATTCATTTAAATTTTACATTTAATAACATCCAATATGATATATTTTAATTGTGTGTTAATGAAAAAATTATTATAAAGGAATAAATACAAAAATTAATTTCAAAGGTTTCCAAAATTAACCCCTAATTATTTTATATTTCTATGATTTTTTACACTCAAATATAATAGAAAATTGAATGTGAAAGCAAAGAAAAAGAATCGTTTTATTCATATTATTTATCATTTACAAGCTATAACAATTATTTATTTATTAATAAAATGTAATCTTTTTCCATGGAACAAAATCCAAAATTAACATAAAAATATTTATTATTTCTGTATTTTTTTTTTTTTTTAATCTTTTGGTCAAAACAATGTTTTAAACTATGCTTTTATGAAAACAAAAAAAAAAAGATATTTTTTGGCCGTTTTTTTTTTCAAAATGCTTGCTGCTTAAGGGGTTAATTTTATTAAAAAACAAAAAAAAAATGAAATATATTTATTACTCTTCTACACAATATTATAATAAAATCTAACAAAAAGAAGTCTTTGAACTATCTCGTTGGTAACAACGGACTAAAAAATATACTACGAATACTTTAGATAGTATTATTGAAATATGTTTGATCGATAAAGCTGCGAGTCGCTGTTAACAACGACGTATTTGTCTTCGTAAAGTGCTCATCTGCAAGCTGATTTTTTTTCCCACAAAAATTCGGTAAGTTTCTTTTTCTTTATATATAAATATAAATAAAAATAAATAAGATATTTAATAAAAAAATAAATTTTCGAAATTATTATAAACGATTCGTATATCGATTTGTGTGAAATTCATTTTAAAATTTCAAAGGGTTAAGATTTGAAGCTTCTTTTTTTATTTTCATGAAATTCCATTTCCAAAAAACCCGTATATCTAATAATTTATTATTTATTAAATATTACATTTTATTTATACCTTTTTCATCGCGTTTTATTACTTCGAACTTTATATTTTTCTTTTGCATGATTCACGTTTAAACAACGAAATGAATAAGTTTGGAAACGTATTAACGTTTTAGAGTATATCTAACTACCATTAGCCAGCCATTAATAGTGAAAACTTTGAAAAGTTCAATTAGAACTTTGAAATGGAAATACCGATGATTATCTCGATTAGATTTTATTGATTTTCGCAACAGTAACCGAGAATTCTTCTAATTTTCAACACTTCCAGTTTATTTATATCCAATTTTAAATCTTCCATTATAATATCAAAAAAAAGAAAAAAAAAGAAAAAAATCAAATAAATTACATAAGAAAAAATTGTGTAATGTATTCATTCCATTGAGTGGCTCAAATGAAATGTGACTAAATTTAATATACAATATAATCTATAGTAAATACATAACAAAATCTATTAGGCAAAATTAACCTTTGCTTACCACACTTTGTCCAAAGGACCCAGACGACCTTTTTTGCAACATGAGTCGTCATTTTTCTCAATTGTTCAACTTTGGTAATTTTTTCAACATATTTAAATTTAATTTAAAGCTATAAAACCTATATAGTCTTTTTAAGTAAGTATTAAAGAAGTCTTAAAAAAATGTTCAAGTAAATCTATGCAATAGTTTCTTTTTTATAACGATTTTTCTCGGGTGTCGTAAGCGTGTTACTCAAGGAAGGATGGTAAGCAAAGATTAAATGCATGATAAATAAATCAAAAATATTCTCTAAACATAGGTATATACGAAGTGTGTCCCAAAAGTATCCAACCTACCTCCATATTTCTCCCCTAAAGTTACTCTGACATCCTTCAAAGTAGTCCCCATTTGATTGAATAACACGCTCCCAACGCCCTTTCCACTTTTCAAAGCAGTCCTGGTAATCGTTTTTCAATATCGCCTTTAAAGCGTTCGTCGCATTTTGCTGCAATTGCAGCTACGAATTTGTATTAAATTTTGCTTTAAACTGGAAAAAAGTTGTGCAGAGACTATCGAAATGATGAAGACAGCATTTGGGAACGAGTGTATGGACAATACGCAAATAAAAGAGTGATATAAGATGGCCGCACATCTGTTGATAGTGACCCACGCTCTGGGCGACCTTCGACAGCAAAAACAAACGATAACATCGAACGTGTGCGACTTGCAATCAATGAAGATCGACTGTGCGAGAACTAGAAAATGACCTTGGAATAGCGATAAGTAGTGTTTGGAGGATTTTAACTGAAGATTTGCAGATTTGCAGATTTGTCATAAGCACATTGCGCCAGCACATGCATCGAACCTCGTGCAACAATATTTAAATAAACATCGTGTTGTACAGCTTCGTCAGCCTCCGTACAGTCCCGACACAGCTCCCTGCGACTTTTGGCTGTTTCCAAAATTGAAAATGCCCTTTAAAGGACACCGATTTGACGATGTGCAAACGATTGAAACTAATGCAACGAACGCTTTAAAGACGATACCGAAAAACGAGTATCAGGACTACTTTGAAAAGTGGAAAGGGCGTTGGGAGCGTGTTATTCAATCAAATGGGAACTACTTTGAAGGATGTCATAAGCCAGACGACGAAGAGTAACTTTGGGGGAGAAATATGGAGATAGGTCGGATACTTTTGGGACACACCTCGTATATATATATATATATATGTCATTATATGCAACATTGTGTACCTGGTACGATATCATTATGTAGAAATAAATCATGCAAACATTACCACAATGATACAACCATTTACCTCGCTAAACTTTCAAACAAGTTACAGTACAAGTTACGTGTACAAGGTATACATGATGATTGCATTATGAAAGTTTTCATATACTATTTGTTAATAATGAGTTTTCAACATGCACTTTCATATAAATATGGATTCATTATTTTCATTATTAAACGATATTATAAACAATTACTTTACTTTCAATGAGAAATAGCCCATGTAAAAAAAAAAAAAAAGAAAATAAGAGAAACAATTAATCTTTGGAAGTAATTAGAAAAAACTAATTGCAAGTCGTAGTATCATTTTTGCAGTCTAATCGACATTCCTTGCATAATGTTTTATTGATAAATCGATTTGGAAGGGAGGGGGAGAGAGAGGAAGATTAAGGGATATAGAATGTCAATATTGTTTTGTGAAAATATTCTGATTTTATTTATATGTATCATACATTGTCTGAGATATTATTCATACATTGTTTTAAATTAAACATTAAAATGCTGCAATTTATAAATATTATTAAAAATAATAATTATTAAAACGTATTCTCACAAAAATATACAAAGATGCTCCTGTAACTGGTGATACAAAAGAACAGGGATTCGATTCTATTATATTTAAACAAATTAAACAATACTTATATAAACGTACTGGGTGTACATATATATACTTATTTATCTTAATATATATATATATATATA